CCTGAACAGCAGTAATTTTTTTTTTTTTCCCCCCCTCTCCCTTCCCTCTCTTTCCACAAAGGTGCAGCACGCCCAGGTGGAAACCAGGTACCAGACTCCCGACACCAGCGCTGGAAGAGGAAAGGGTTTGGAAGCTTGCTCGAAACTGGAAACACGCAGGAAGCAACATCTCTTCTTCCCAGCTGCCAAAGGAGGATGTTTCTTCAATCAGGACCCGGACTTTCTCTCACCCTATCTCTGTCCCCAAAACCCCATCCCAAAGGCAGGGAGGGGAAAGGACTAATAAGCTGCTGATAGCCGGAGAGCAGATCACAGAGGCTCCACTCCGTCTGCCCAGTGTTCAGACTACCTGTTCAGGACTACGAGATTGTACAGTAGTCTGCACATTGGTTAGGCTGTGCTGGGATACACCACACACTGCCAGTGCTGCACGGGGACGGAAACACCTGCACGGCAGGGGGACACGCTTGGAGAGGGTGGGCTGTGGGGGCAGCTGCATGCAAAGTTCACCTATCCCTAAACCTGCAAGGATATAACGCTTTGGAGCCATGCTTGACGATCACTTTTACCTTCTTCTTAACCAGCCTACTCACACCCCTCCCGCCACTCCTGCTCTCTCTCCTCTTCCCCTTCTTAGCAATCATTTCGTCGTTTCACGCACTTGTCCTAGGGATAGACGTGTTCACGATAGCTTGTTTCGTGTGCTAAACTTTGCCATAAAACGCTCAGAGACAAGGGCCTGAATGAGTTATAGCTGCACTGCGCCTTGCTACCCGAGAAGGGAGGATCAAGCAGAGAGAAGTGACTGAAGAAAGGAGATTTCACGTCATGAAGAATGCTGACCCTTAATAAAGAAAAACCCACAAAGGACTGAAAGCTGGAAGTTTGGATGCTCTGGAAGTTGTGTTTGCTTTGATGTTTGTCTGGAAAAGAAAGACGAGAAACAGCGAGTGAAAGAACAAATAAGGACCGAATAAGGCAAAAGAGTAAGATATTATTCATGAGAAAACATGCATGTGTGCAAGAGAATGACTGAATGAATGCAAAAAATGCAGAGGATGTAAAGGGAAAGAACATGTTCCAGAGAGCTCCTGAGACCAGTATGAAAGGGGGACAGGATGAACCTCAGAGCAAACATACTGCTGTGGTCTTAAAACAAACTGGGTACAAAAAGCGAGCTGCAGCTGGACCAGTCACAATCGCCACCCTGTTACAGCAACTTTCTCATGACTTGTGGGGCTTTAAGCATGAGAGCAAAGAAAGGATTTCTACCAGCTGAGTTGGGCCTCAAGGACACAAATTGCTCAGGGTGGGGTGGGAAAAACAATCTCATTATTGATTTATTTTTAACTAGAACTGGGTAGAAGCCGCTGAGAGTAGAGTAAGTGACAGTCTAATGACTGCCAATAAGATCACATTTTCCCCTAGACAGGAGAAAGTACCTTTCTACTTCAAGTAGAAGAGAAGGCAGGCATGAGGACGGCAAAATAGCCCAAGCACTGATCCAGTGGGAATCAACATAACACATAAAGAATATGAAATATCCCCCATCACACACATATACCTGAAAATGCCTAAAACTGCATCCACCCCTCCTGTACGCACACACACCACTCAAATGCACTGACATTGCAATACTCATCACACTGCAGTACTCTTACACAAGCACATAAGGTCCTATTTCTCTCAGGCAGTCATCTGTTATTACGAGCCCCAAACTTCTAGTACACAGTTTACCTGAGTAAGGACAGAAGGTCCCATCTGTATTGTACATTCACACAAACTCCCAAAGGAAGCAGCAGATACATCCACCTGTCTGCAAATACTCCTGCACACAGAAGCACACACAGGCACTCCAGCACAAGTGGTCACTCTCGAAGAACGGAGAGCCCCGGAGTCCCCTCCAGCAGGCAGTAAGCTTTACTAATGGGAACCACTAAGCACAGTGCTCATTACAGCTCACCTACAAGGTCCCCATCACCAGCAACTCTAGCCCAGCTCACTGCCCCTCTTTCCCTGCTGGAGGGAAAGCAAGCTCTGCAGAGAAGAGGGCATTGGGGCTTTCGTAAGGGATTCAGGCAGAACAATGAGTCTAATTAAGTTCTTGCATCACGTCCACAGCTGCGCAGCTAGCCGTGCTGGGAGCGCTGCGCTGCTGCTCCGGCCCTGGGGACACGGTGGCCTCCCCGAGCCAGGGCAGGCTGTTCTGTATCAGCAGCAGTCAGCAGAGCAGGCTCCTCCCCGCCGCCCCCCTGCCAGCGCAACCCCACCGCAGGCCGGCGGTGCAGGTACCTCCGCAAGGTCTCCAGGTCTTGGGAGGCCAGCGCTATGTGGGGCCGCTCTCCGTGGGGCCAGTGTTTGACTCATTGAAAGGAGACAGGAAGAAAAACAGAGAACCCAAAGGCGCACACACAAAAAACACGCTCTTCACATGCGAAGCCGGGCCCTTTAAGACATTTTAAGTTTCAGTTCCTTTCTTCAGAGGGGAGGAAAAACAAGCACGCATTGCGGAAAGGCTGGTATTTCACTAATGGGGTCCAGATGTCTGCAATGCTCAGCCTCTGGGTCCAGGCTCACAAAACGGGGCGGGGAGGAGCGGCGCTCCCCGCTCCCCCCTCGGCTCGCCAGTGGGGCTAACCCAGCCTTCACCCTGATCCCAGCGCACACCGTTTCCCCCCCAACTCCTTCCCCTCCCCCCGCCCCCAACTCTGCCGCCATCCGCGCAGGACGCACTCGCTTCTCTCATTTCCTCTGGACAGTCGCCAGAGCTCGGGGGAACTGGGGCAAGAGAGCCCACAGGAGTCGAGTTGGGAAGGAGGAGGGTGGCTTTGTCTGCCCAGACCTTAAGTGAAGAAAGATCATAGTATACCGCCTTTAAAGAACACGCAAGAGGATTTCAGGAGCCTTGGAGGATGCCAGGCCTCCTTCTGAACCAGTGGGCTAGGAGAGGACTGGGACAGACCAACAGAGGACCTTGTTCGAGAGAGGGTCGTGCACCACCGTGGGCTCAGAGCTGGAGCCAGCTCCCTGCAGGACTGCGGTTTAGCATGGGGATCCCCATGCTCACGGCTCTCCGAGCTGCCCCTCGAATGCACCAACTTTTAGCCCTGCTCAGATGGAGTCCAGGGGGAAGCTGCTTCCTTTCCTCCTAGCACTGGCCAGAGATCAAGAAGCTGAACTTGAGGTGGGGGAAGGGGGAAAATAAGAAATAAAAACACGTTCCCCTTTCCCCTCTGCTCCCACCCAGTTAAAAACAAAGGCTCCTTTTCTCAGAGGCTGCTCAAGCCTCGTCAGCACTGGGTCTCCCATGTTTGTTTAAGGGATGCTGGCTGGCTGGCAGGGTACTGCTTTAATTAGGCAGCTCTACCTCTTGCTATACAGAAGGGAAGTGGTGTAGACCTCCAGCTGCTACTGACCCCCAAGGCTGCCCTCCCTCAGGGGGGAAGGGACATCCAATCCTCATCCCATCAACTGGAATCTATCAACAGCTTACACATCCCCATTGCAGCTCTCCCACTCCCCCGGGGAGGAACAGGGAGTTCTGCTCTGCAACACAGATGTAGCAGCTGGCTTTGATTTAAACTACTTGATGTTTATAACCACCCGACCTGCATCTGCAACCTGGAGGAAAGCAAAGCATCCCCCAGCAGCTCTTAATGCAAAGGTCTTACAGCAGAGACACCGATGTAGCAAAAGCTATTTCGGTGCCTGCTTCTTTAATCAAGAGATTGCTGCCTGCTCAGCCATAGCAGCACTATAGCAGTCTCCCTGCAGAAAATGGTATTTGGAGGATGACTCATCACCATCTTTGTCATCATTTCCACCTGCTGAAAATGGACAGACCCACTGAAATCAGCAAGAGAAGAATGTGGGCCTGGCTGCAGTTCCCAGGCACACCGCTCACACCAAAATAAAAAAAAAAATAAAAAAAACCCCACACAATAAAGTACAAGACGGTTTCTTTTATCTGGAATCAGAAGTGCCAATCAGCTGAGAACGTATGGACTACAGCGTACTGCACACTTCCCCACACCCTCCAGCATACTGAGTGGGGCTAAACCTTTCAGTTATGTCCTTACCGAAACCATCCCGCTATGCTTTTCTCTACTCAGAAAGTAAACCCACAGAACGACTGTCTACCTTTGTCTCGAACAGGAAGCAACACACCGTTGACAGCTGACAGTGATAGTTTCAGCTGGGACACAGTTCTGGCAGCTTGTATCTCATTTCCTACTAAAGCAGAAAGACACTACAGCACAATGCCAGGATTCCTAACACTCAATATCTCTAAGTAACTCTGCAGAGTAGGTCTGTGTCGCTATCGGTGATTTTCCGCACATCACTGTACTTTTAATGAGTAGTACTCTGACCACTCACAGTTCAAATAGCTCATATTTGTAAAATTAACTGGCCTGTCCAATACACAAACATTAAAAAAATATATTCTTGCTTTGCAGCTGTGGCAACTGAATCCTGGAGAGGTTAAGTAAGTTGCCCAGAGTCAGAAGGAGCCAGCATCTGAGCTGCAGCTTTAGCTCCACAGCTCCTGCTGCTGTGCTCAGAAAGGAGATGGCTTTTTTTTACATTGTGACAGAGATGCATCAAATACTCTGCCACGCTCCTTCAAAGAATTCACCATGGCTACCCCCAAAATACCAAAAAGCCCAGATCTCAGAGCTAACCCATCACTCCCTTGAACTCAGCTGCCACAGCAAGCCAGAAGAAGGTAAAAAAAAAACCTGCTGAGCCAGGGCTTCCAGCAGAGATGTTACCAAATGAGTTTTCCCTTGTGTGTCAAGAAAGCCACATTCAGATCAATATAGAACTGTTCAGCAGTGGTGAGACCGCAGGGAACCCGGCCCAAGGATCATTTCAGCTTATGTCACAAGCTGCATAGAACCAAACACTCAGTACTCAGATATACTTGTAACACCCAGAGAACTGAAGGCCTATCCTCATCAGTTCCCCCAAGACTCAAGTCACAGAGCTGAGCTACTCACCTCATCATCCTTATACCAGGAGAGGTTCTCTGCTGTCAGGACAAACCAATACTCCTTGGAGCCACCCTTCATGATCCCAATGTTGTTGATGGTGAGCCAGCCCTTTCGGATGACCTAAGAGGACAGAAGTAGCAAGTATTAACAAGCACCCTAAAAGCCTGGCCTTAGGTGACAGGGGAAGAGAAAGGCATCCCTACACACAGAACAGCATAGAAAGACAAGGAACACCATGCTCTCTGCTGCTGCCAAAAGAGCCCCCCAACTCAACTGGCCTAGGGCTTGAAAGGGCCAGGAATAGCATAAAAAGGAGGGAGGAAGGAACCCGGCTGCGCTGTGCATTATACCCTCTGCCAAGGGGAGAGAGATGCAGGAAGAACTGCATCAGAGAGCACCTCAGGCACTGGCACAACCTACAAGCACCAGATCACAGCAAAACACCCAGAGAAGGCCATGCCTAGAGAAAACCAAGCCAGCAGCAAACCTTTTGCATGCTGCACACAGGGAGTGCTTCACCCAACTCAGGGGTAGGGGAGTGTAGGGACCAGTTCAAGAGGAAGATACAGGTGAGCAGATCAGGAAGGGTTTAGTTTAATAACAAGGAAACGTTAAGTACGAAGGAACAAAATGGTGCATCTGGAATCAGTACCTCGGACTTCAGCGTACCCAGGTATTTAAACAGTCACACTAGTTTAAGGCAGTACAAGTTCCTGCACTTTTGGTCTGCAGAGAAGCCAGGCTGTTACTCTCTAGGGCACTTCAGCTCACCTTGTGCTGTTTTAGAGACTCACGTGTGCAGTAATCAAGTACAAGTATGCATCAGCTTAAATGCATTCGCCTTTTTATGCTTATTACTGCACTGTTAACACCCAGATACATCTGCATGTATATGCGGGTACCTCATTGTATGGGTACGCTTGTTGAAAACACGCTAGCATTGAAAAACCATGCAACCGCACTGCATATTAGCAAGCTGCCTACCATGGAGGCACACAATCCTTTTGACTGTCAATTTATCCTACAAAGGTAAATGTAGAAACATTGGATCTTCACCTCATACCCACCGTTGAACTCAAGCTAGACCTATTCTCTCTGTGGACAGGAGGGGGCAGTGAAACAGAACCCCAGATCTCTAGATTACTGCTTTTCATCTCCACCCACTCACACCATCTACCAGCAGCTCTGCAATTTTCTTTACCATACTATCTTTGCACCTCATTTCTGCTTCACCTGTGTCTATTACCAGCTCTTGTCTTCTCCCTGTTCAGCAGCAGAGGGAATAGTTTGTCTATGCACTGTTCTTGCCTTCCCAGATGCAACATTAATGTTCATTAGCACACCCTGCTGAGTGGCCTTCTACTCACCAGGATCTCATCCTGCAAAGGGGAACCATAGCAACAGCAGCAGAGCAGAGAGCAGGAGAGGAGCAAAGAGAGGAGAGATTATTACTAGGAAAGCTGGAGCAGGAGAAGAGAGGCTCAAAAATAAAATAAAATAAATTGGAACCTGTACCAAATCTTTTACCCTAGCTGCTTAAAAAAAAAAAACAACAAAAAAAAAACAAAATAAACTCTGCTAAAGGGAAAAGCCCGGGTACTTTACAGGTAGATCCAGAGCTTGTCCTTTGAGTTATTTTACAACACTCAGCTCTTGCATAGGTATACTGCAGAGGATGGGGCTCCCTACAGCTGCTCTGAGATCCCATGAGGTGGAGAGTTGGCCAGTCAAGCCTGCTAACCTATCTGCCTGCCAACAGCACTGAAATCGTGTGCCCGTCTGTGTGCAGGGAAAGGTGGTCAAACATGTTCTAAGACTATGCATGTTAGAAGTGAAGGTCTTTAAAAAGAGGAATACAGGAAAGCATTTGCTTCCGTTCTTTACCAAGCTGCTTGTAAGGCCTCGTTTCTACAGAATCTTCTAGCCTAGATAACCTTGTCATTTCCCCAAAAAATCTGGGAGAGGAAGATGTCCTTAGCCCCTTAAGTTTTTACTTACCTATGCACGCCTTACAGTTCCTACAGAAGGGGGGAACTCCTCCCCTCCACTGCTGTCTTCTCCCAAGGGCGTGCTCTGTTACATACCCAGTGCAGCCATGGCTGCAGAGCACTCTATGCCTCCACCTGCAGGGGTTTAAGCCTTTCCAGTAGAAAGCCCATCACCTCTCCTGAAATCCCCTTCCAGAAAGTAGGTACCATCAACAGAAAAGACAACTAGAAAAGGTAAGCCTGTATCACAGCAGTTCGGTCCTGGCAGCGGGGGGCAGGGGCTGCAGAAGGGAGCTTAACCCACTTGTAAGCAGCTTATGAATTTGAGTCTGTAACTACAATATCCCAAGTGATCTCTACCCCTCACCTCAGCAGAAGAGTTAGCACAGCTGGAGAAGGGGAGAGAGGACCCAGGGATGTAAACAATATCATTATGCATGTCTACCATTAGCCAGACAGCAGTAGTGAGCTTACATGAGATGTATACCCTTCTGGCCATGCAAGTGGTGCAGCCCTGCAAGACTAGGTCTTAAGGATCAAGCGTCCATTCCCCTCTACGTTTCCCCTTTGTTGCTCCTACATGCTCAGCTCTTCCTGACCACAGTGAGACCAAAATGCATTACTCTTTACTCGAAGAGTAAAAAATTAGAGCACTGCTGCATCCAGCTCAGCACTTGTCCACCTGGTAGCTTCCAGGTAGCAAATACATCCTTCCTCCTTGCAGCAGTGAAGGAGATGAAACTTGGCCTACCTGGTTGCCAGCTGCCTTCTTCTTGCTCATCTGGCTGCTCCTCTGCTGAGCACTGCAAACAACAGCAGAGACATTCAAAACCCCTCAGGCTCTCCTTCATACCTGAATCCTGCTCCCACCAGAGAGCTGCTACAGTGAGTTCATGCCCCTCATCACTGGCTTCCAAGCCTTGATAATCCCACCTGTCTCCAGCTGTTCTCTCAGCTTGCCCTGATCTTCTCACTCCCACCTGAACCATACTTGGGCCACTAATCATCTACAGCTTCTGCCTTTTCCCCCCTGACACAACCCTACACCTTTCAAGCATTCCTCTTCTGTTCCCCACTAGCAAATGATCTAAGCAGCTTTGCAACATGGAGCCACTGAAGAGAGGAGCAATACCGAGAGCAGAGCCAGACGTTGCGACCACAGTATCTGCACCAGGGCCTCTGCAACCCATTTACTGGAGCAGCTATAGGATAGGGCCACAGGGAACACACACAAAGAGGAGAGGAGGCAGTAGGATAGCGGTGCTTACTTGGCAAAGCCAATGAAATCCTCGTGGTTTGTGTTCATGTAAGCCAGCTCGATGTCTATTAGAAGCATGACCTGCCAAACAGAGGCACAGACAGAGCAAGTAAAACACAAGTGACTGACTGCGAACAGTAGGGCAGACAGAGCCCTGTACATTGTTCATCTGATCAGCCACAGGTCCCAGGCTCAGAGCTCAGCTCCAAATCCAAACTCGGAGAGGCCTCTCTCTAGCCCGGAGTGTCCCCTCAAAGGCTGCCCCCCTCCCCATCCACCTCTCCCCCACATGCCCCTGAGCCCTACCTGATCCTTGGTCCTGCCCTCTCTCTCGCGGATGTGGGTAGTAACAATCCTCTCCATCTCCTCACGCAGGTGAGGGTACTGGCTGAGCTGCAGGAGAGAGAGCACACGTGCACGTGGGAAAGGGAGGTATAAAGGGGGGAACAGCCCCCTGCATGTAAGCATGCACACATACACCCTGCAATCAGACATTTTAAAGGGAAAGTTCTGGAAAGCCAGACTTGCAGACAGATTTTCCAAGTTCCTTGGGGTCTGTTCGAGCAAGGCACTCATTCCCTCTTGCTCTGAGCTTCAGAGAAAAGCCCTTTTCACTCTTAGAGCGATTATTCTGTCTCACGGGAGACCTGCTCCAAACCCACCACATTCCTCGCAGTACAAGGCTTGTCTCAAACCCCAGATGTGAACACACTGCTTGTTTGTTGGGTTTTTCCCACTAAACCAAGCCATTTCTCTAGAAGTTCAGACTCTCACTAGCTAAGTAGGTGAATGACCCTGTTGCTCCACCTGCTGAATCCTATGGGAAGTCTCCCTGAGAAGAGAAGTGGATTTCACCCCTCATTTGCTGAGACACTCTAGTAAAGCATCCGGCCCTCCTCGTTTAACACCCACAAGCAGAGGCCAGCTCGAAGGGGCAGGTCTCAAAGGACCACTGTGCTCTGGGCATCCAGACTCTGCTTCTACCTGCTCTCCGCCTGTGTTGGGGCAGAATCACACAGTTGGGGCCTATATTCATATCACACCTACATCACGCTTTTTTCATATTATGGAGTGAGGGGGGTATAGGGAAGATTCATTCCTGAGCACACAGAGAAGGAAGTGGAAGGACGTTACTGCCTGTGGTTCAAGAGAAAATATCCATAGAGATCATACAAGAGAAACCTCTTCCAAAATGAGCACCCTTAAAGCCCTCTGGCATTCATACAACACCTACCTCAAAGTAGAATAATAGCATAACAGGGACACTTGATCTGGCTAAGATCTAAAGGACTTTGGCCATTGCCTTCAATAGGATCTGGCTTCACTGCCAAACCTCAGCTGGCAGTAGGAGGTTAATTCAGCATTCATGTCAATGACTGGAAAAAAAAAAAAAAAAAAACCCAGTCATTTAATGCAAGTCCTATGGCTTCTGAGTCAGGGGTATTTCTAATTTAAGCACATTCAGCTCTTTGCCATGACCGGTGCAGTACCTTCTCAAGACCTTAGCAATAGCAATAGTTAAGGCCCTTCATCTGTGAAACTATGCTTACCAAGCTGCATGATAAAGTAAACCCCTCTCTATGCTTTACAATAGTGCATGACACCATCTTACTGAAGCCTAGCAGAGAATGCAACTTGCCTAGGTCCATAAGCCACCAGCAATTTTAGTGGCGGTACCTGAAAGCTTCTTCAGGTCACAACCAGACTCAGAAATAAAATGAATCCTCCAGCCCCAGGATCCAGTCTTTTTTTCCTGCCTCTTTTCCTATCCTCTGTGAAATCATTTCTTCAACATCGTTTCAAATTATCTTCAGTTTGACTACAATGTCAAACAGCACTTCCTAGTATCGTTGCATTATACTGCCTCACAAGGAGTATTTAAAAATTTCATTTGCCTCTGATCTGTATTGCACCAGTTTTGTCTCTCCAATTTACATGAGAGCTTCTTCTTTAACTCATCTGGCCTTTGTTCCATAGACATAAACAACTGCAACACACTAGAAGGAACTGGCTCACGGTGTGCAGCATCACCACTGGTGATGCCCGATCTTACACTAACTTGGGCAACAATTTTTCTAACTTCTGACTACAGACACTCTCAGACCCTTTTAACACTTAAAATCAGGGGAGCTGCGGTAACCTGAAACTGAAGTTGAGAACTAACTTTTATATTGCCTATTTTCAAATGTGATGTCTGTCTGAATGCCAGTGACCCTAGAGAGACAGGAGAAAACAAGTGGAAATTTGCGCTCCCCACCACCACCTTGTCTTGAAAGGGCAAACGGGGTATTCTCTATGATCTTTATGGTTCAGGCAGCTGGTTGCTTCAGAGACACACAGGCAAAGCTTCCTGTTTCCTTTGGGGGATTGGCAAAGGATAGATGGGCAAGTTATGTCAAACAGACAAAAAACAGGAAGTTGGAAAACCTCTAAGCAAGTCTCAGCTTCTTTGCTTCAAATAAATAAATAAATACCACCACCACCACCACCCAACAACCCAAAGGCACACAGAGTGCAAGACAAGTTGCAGTTTACTCAGAACCCAGGTCATCCAGCAGGTTATGCGCAAAACAAATTGACAGCATCAATCCCCGTGCAGGAGCTTGCAACCCCAAGCGTGCATAGAAGCAAGAGTGGGCAAGGGAAGAGGACACAGACACCAGCCACGAGATGTCACATCCACCAGGCAACATGCAATAGGGTGCAGAGGGGCAGGCAGTTAACACCAGCAGTACAAACAGCACCCAGAAATGCCATGACTCTGAAAGACAGGAGAGCAGGTGACCCTTCAAGGGTCTTCAAGTCTGCCAGCTGGGATCATTTACGAGCTCAAGTGGGTTTTCAGTCCTATTTCAGCTGCATTTTCTTGTTCAATCAATACAAGCTCATGGCCCTCTTTGAGAAACAATTCATCCCAATGCTCCTTAGACTCCCCCCCCCCCCTTTTGCAAATTCCAGGAGTCCCTGTAAGCACACTGAAGATCTCTACTTCTAGCAGAAAGGATGCTGAGTCGCAAGACCTTTCTGCACTAGTGAGATGCTGCAGTGCAGTCTGGCATAGAAGGTTCCTGCTTTTGGAAAAGCACTAGCTAGAACGCTAGCCTCATTAATGCAAGCGTCTGCATGCTTACACCATCTCTCTGTTTATTTCAAAGCTACTCTCGATTTAACCAACTGCAACAAGTTCAGTATCGGGTCAGGCAAAACAGCTGTTAATGGCTTCCTCCTCTTTAGCCCTCAAGACTGTCTAAAAGTCAAGAGAAAGTCAGTCGCAAATCTCTTTGCATAGAGGGAAGCTGTACTTCTGTAGCACTCGAGAACAGATGAATTTGCCTCCTCTATGTTCTTTATTAACAAACCTCTTATCTCATCCATGCGGTTTTACCAACTGCAGGTACAAAGATTCCTTCACCAACCTGGGTGAAATGCAACAATTGTGACAGCACATAACACCACCACTTTAGGACAGCAACAAACAAGGATCATTAAGCTAATTCAAGAGGTGCTAGCCCAAGCTCTCTTCCTTCAAGGAGCCTTACAGTATATTCAGTGAGCTCAAAGGTCTGTCACCCAAAAGACAGCATCAGTCCACAACACAACCGGGAGGCTGTACCTGCCTTAACGTTAGCATCAGTTCCTAAGCAGCCTTTTCCAAATGCCTCCCCTAACAGCACATGCTTGTTAGGTCCAGATCTTGTCCAGGTCAGGCAGCTGAGGCTACGACACGCAAGGTAACAAATACTGCGTACCAGCAAGTGCCCCTATGCAGTTGGTCCCCTTTGCTTTATGCCATTAGAGCACATCTCTCAGACTGGCTGCTACCCTAAGTGGTACTTTCAGTCAACTCCTGACCTTCTGCCCTCTTTCAGAGGGAGATACAGGCAAGATTAACCTTCTCTCAACACACGTAGACTTCTGACTTCAAGCATTACTGGAGCCTCCCTTTCATTTTCTAATACTACTGCTGGTTGGCTTCATTCAGGTATTTATTTCTCATCCGTATTTAACATCTGCTTCCCTGGCCTCTCAGGCTTTTATTATGGCCATTAGTCTCCTAAAAACATCAATACTACCATCCGCTTCCTTGCGGGACATCTTGCTCACATCACCCTGGAATATCCCCACTGGGTTCTCCACCATGTCATGCATTAAAATCCATGGAGAGCACATGAATGGGTGTCCAGCATTACTAATAAGGTGGTCCAATAAAGCAACGGAAATTCAGCACCCTTGGGGTTTTCATGATCCTCTTCCCCCCCCCACACACACCCCTCCCCCCCCAGCAGACATCTCCAAAAACCCCTCCCCCCCCCAGCAGACATCTCCAGCCAGATGCAGAAAAATAGTGTAAACACAAATTAGGCCACTGAAATCAAAAAAACCCACAAGAGAAACAGTCTAGAGAGAAGTTACTCTGCATTGCCACAGTGATCTGGCAACAGCAGGACAGCAGGAAACAGACTGGGCAGAGCTCAGGGCTTGTCAAAGGTATCTCCGTAACAGGGGTGAGAGATGAGCTCTCCATTCTAAAGTACAACTAGACCTCATTAGTTCAGCTCTTGCCTTCACTCTGAACTCTCATCAGTTCCGATCTTCCCTTCCTTCCCAATTTAGGATTATGTCAGTGAGCCCAGACCCAATCCTGCAGAAGGGGATCGTAATTTAAGTCTTAAAATTTTAAGTCTTTAAAATACATAGCAGAACAGCCCTCAGTTCCAACTCAGTTCCCAGAAGAACCCACTACTGTTTTGCCATGGACACATTTCTGGCCCCTCCACCAGTAAATTTAACATGAAATAACTGCCACGTGTCCTTTATTTTCAGGAGGCATGTGGTGCCCTCTCCTGGAGGAAACTAGCCTGGGAAACAAACCCACTCTTGCCCCAGCCTCTGAGCATTATTCGTTTAACATCTTCCCCTTCCCTTGGGTGCAGTTTTTCCCCTCTCCGCTTATGGCTGCCCTCTGCTAGCCTAAGGCTTCATCTCCTTTGGTTTACAGCATACAAGCAAGAGCACCCACACTACCTCGCGGCGAGCATAGTCCATGGAGCGAGAGATCAGCAGGAGAACGATGCAGAGGGTGTAAGGGACCGCGGTCTTGCCGACACCAACTACCTTTTGCAGAGCATCTTGCACCTCAAACTTTCATCTGATTGCTGCTTCGTACGTGATACTACTTAACATAGCTCTGCAGAAACAGCAGAAACCTACAGACTACTCACACTGTAGGGGATGTAATGTCTATTTCTGGCTTTTTACCATTTCCTAGGGTATGTGGATCTCTAAGGGGGCCACTGCAAAAACAAATGAGAGGTTCCAAATGGGCAGGCAGTGGCACAGCAAACAGGCTTGTAATAGGGTTTAGTCCACACTGAGCTGAATGCCACTGAGCTCGGCAGAGGAAGAGGGCAGGCTACAGAGCAATCCACTGGATCCAACTCACTTCTTAGCTAAAGAGCCCATCAGCTAATACCCACTTTTCTTGGCCTGCCTTTAGTTTTAACTGCTCCAGTGCCTACAGATGGCTGCTCTCCTTTAGATGCGTCTTTATAGCTATTTGCTCTCACTAGTTTTTTGGAGTTCCTGCAGTGCGTGTGAGGACATAGCGTGAGTGTGTGTGGGAAGGAGGGGCCATTGTCCTTTCTTTGCATTTTTGGTTGCTTTACCTTTTCGCTACACTTTCTGATGGTGGATGTGAGCTCACTCACTACCATATCCACACACTTCAGACTCGGCTCCTTCAACTTCTGCACCTGCTTTTTCACTATGGCTTCAAAAGCGAGGTCAGGCGTGAAGAGACCCGTTCTGCATGGCAAGGGCAGGGTGGGAGGAAGCAACGAGGAAGAAAAGAGCGAAGCGGAGGAAGAGGAGGAAGAGGAGGAAGAAAAAGGGAAAAGAGAGAAAACACAAGGCAAAATGAAAAGTGAGATTTTGGTGCACTGCATTAGTTCATCGAACCAGGTGAGCATTGCTATGGGGCCTGTGCACTGCCAAGTATCAGGAGATTCTACAGGCAGATGGAAGAGGCAGAGGGGAAGGAGGAAGAAGCAGCTGGGCTGGTGAAATGGTGAGCTGTCAAGAGCAAGATGAATGAATGGAAACCCCCAGGGAGCAAGTGATTTTTTTTTAACTGAATAATGTTTCTTTGCATTTCAAGGTGAACCTGCTTACCACAGTGAGTCACTGACTCTTTTCCTATTGACCTTTGTCTTGGGCATTCCCCCTTCTCACCAGGGCTATCCCCTTCCACTTTGCTTTTTCCAGCTGCAGGAGGCCTGAACAGGAGCCAACTTAAGGCTCGCAAAGGTCTGTCACTTGCGTCTGGTTTTGGCAGCAGGAAAGTTGATTTGAATGGATGTCTTGCTTGGTTGCAAGGATTCAGACAAACTGCTCTATTTATGGAGCATCTTTTGTCTCACTCACCTTCCCTGCAATAGTAACTTCCTCAGTAAGACTAATCAGATGTATGCAGTATTTAGGAAAATGCAGACTTGCTACAGGGCATCCATACCCGTACAAGACATCTATTTTGCCCCAGCTAACCTGTAGCTGGGGCTGTCAGACTGATACAGGCCTGACAGATTGTTAAGGAAATGCCATTATCAGCAGAAACGTATCAGTGTAAATGGCCTCTATTCTCAGTGGCTCCACTAATAAAAAGGAGAAAGTCCACAGAAACTGACACTATTGAAATACGGACAAGATTAATCGAATTCAAGGCTATTACTGCACACAAGGAAGTTTTTCAGCACATCTTTAACTCTTTACAGCTTCTGTCTGGGTGCTTTTTGTAGCACAGTCTCAGTTACTGCTTTTACTATGATGTATTAGTGCTTTCAAGGGGGTGTTGTCCACTGAATATAAGGCAAACACCCTGCAAGGTAGGGTTAATAGTTAAACCTGGGGGGCCTACAGCTGTAAATAAGCACCACTCCATTTAAATCAGATATTTGCCCTTTCACCTTACCATCTTGCACATCTCTGGGTAGCGCTCGCAAGACACCAAGACCCACTCCTCTATTAAAATGCTCTCCAACACACACTATGGGACTGACAACTGATCCGTCGTTTCAGCAAGAGTGTCAGGATATGCGATAGGATTCAGCTTCACCCAAAGGCTTCTCTCAAGGTGCCAACAAAGCCCTTTTTGAGCAAAGCAAGGCCATTTCCAGAGTTACATTCACACTCTGACTCAAAACTACTTCCTACCCATCCAGCCAGCCAGCTAAACTCAATATAGACTCAGTTACTCTTTCCCTTACTACGTGTCCTGCTCCCAGGGCCAGACTTGGCAGGAGCCTTGCACAAAAACCTGTCCCTTCAAGCACCTGAATACCACCCGAGTGGCAATATCATTTTGTTTCTTCAGAAACAAACAGTAACCGTGACTCCTGGCACACACAAGGCAACCAGCACTGAAGTCAGTGATCATATTCCCAACAATGGGACCCAAACAAGAAAGGGAGCCTCTTAATCCTGTATCTGTGACCTTTTCTGTCCTGTCCCTGGCATCTCTCCTCCCTCATGTCCCACCCATCTGTGCCTGTCACTTGGTGACCTGAGGAACCTGCCAGTCTCTTCACGAGTGACATTTTTATCAGAGAAAAAGGAAACAAAGAAAGAAAAGATGAAAAGCGGAAAATGGAGGAAAGGAAGCAGAGGGAGACAGAATGAACAGAGAATTTTGAATAGCAACTGATGGATGGTGAACAAACCAAGATAAGCTGCAGAGGGCATAGAAAAGGAGGGCCCTCCTGATCCCATTAGCAGGCGACTCTGGATACTTGGCAGCCCGAGGGCCGGTGCTTACCTGTCGCCAGGCTCTAATGGCAATTTTCTGGGTGCTTCCCACAGTCACATACCCCAAGAGAGGACAGCAGGACAGAAAAAGGAAGCTCTTCCAGCACTCTAGAAACCTGAGCAACCTCTCACTGCAGCCACTTTGCTTCCCCAGTCTGTCCTGGGGGGCACAGCATGTGTCTGCATGCTGAGCCCTTCTGCAGAGGCTCCCGGCCTTAAGAGCTGCTGCCACTTGCAGAAACAACAGAGTGTCACTGCTTGGGCACCTCTTTCCC